TATGAATTCTGCTATGTAATTTATGACAAGCCCTGATTTCACTTCGCCTTAACCACTAATTATGACAACGTAGGAAGTATGGACTCAGCGGGGTATCCATCTGCATCACGGGATGGCATCAACCCCTGAGTGGGTTGCAGGGGAAGTAAAAGGAAGAGAGGAAGTAGAAGTCAAGCTAGCAAATGAACGCTGTAAGAGCACTGTAAACTATTGCATCCAAACACCCTTGAGCCGGAGACACTCTCCTCACCTCTTTACGAGTGAAGTCAGAGTCATCCCAAGCGTTATCGACGAATAACTTGATAGCTTCGTCTCTTTTCATTCCTATGTAGTGGAGTCCTGTGTCTACGATCATTCTTACTGCTCGCCAGATCTGAAAACGCAGAAACGTTAGCATCGATACTTCTACGAGATGACTTTCTATCTACGGGATTTTCTAGTGCTGGTTTTCCCAGAGGGTGGAAAACGGGAGAACCCAGGAAATAAAATTCCTGGAAGGCAAAGAGAACAGAGCAAACCTAACCCAGATATGACGTGAGGTCAGGGACTCGAGTCCAGGGTACAGCGGTGAGAGACAAGCGCTTTTATACATGCGCGATCTCAACTTCAACTATCATTTTATCTTTTGCTTGATTATCGTCATTACCAACCTGCCATTTCAGCATGCCATACTTTTTCAATGGCCTTCCATCGTAGACATCAGTATCGTCTGATATCAATGGATTCTCAGCATATAGACCCCATCCCTCCAAAAACGCCGTGTAGTATGTCTTGGAGCTTAACCAACCAATTGGACCTCCACAGGTGTCTTCAAAGTGCTCTCTATTCCCTTGGATCTACCACAGTAAAAATTGTAAGTGACATCTGAAATGATAAGAACTGTCTAGAGGAAAGTCGAATTGTAGGAATTTTAAAAATAAACCAAACAACCCGACTTCTTGTAAAAAGATCTAGTTGCAGTACATCCGCGAGGTAGCTCTTTGCAAACTGTTCTTAGGTCAAATTGCATTTTGAGGTGTTAGATTTTGGGAAAGGAGGATATAAGGATCATGGGAGAACGAATATTAACCTTAACTTGACTCAGGAATCGAACACAATGGTGATGCATTGTGCTTTCAGGCTTTCAGAACTAAGTCGTCTCAAAGTAATCAAAAAACTTTCAAAGAGTTTAAAAAAAACGTATTAAAGTAACCTTCGAGTTCGAAAACTTGTGAGTTTGCCTTTCCCTTTCTGTGCCTTTTCAACTCTCCAGTAATTTCGCAACGTAAGTTTATTTGGTTCCAAAAAAAGGTGTATATAAAAGTTTGTATTAAATAAAACAACAACCAACTTAAAATTGCAAAATTTTCACCTGAATATGGTGACCTGGACGAGCCTCGTGGGCGTTGATACTCCACTCAGAAAACCTTGGCCCCAGTCTGTCTAGGAAGAAAGGAATGTTGTAATGGGCAGGCTTTGTGCACATTGCATCACTTCCGTCGTAGCTCTGTATACCGCTAGATGGGTTCAGGTCTGGTCTTAGTTCTACAGGACAGTTGGGTGTTGAGTGTTTGTCTCCAGCGAAGTAAAACATGTCGGTAGTTTTAGGGTACAGCATACTCATAACCTGAAAAAGTAATTACAAAGACCAATCCAAACAGAGGAAAAAGCTTGTGAGAGTTAAAGGTAAGAGCAAGTAAACTGCCTCAAATGAGAAACTTAACACAAATAAAACCAATGCAGATGGGATCTTAACTCTAAGGCTAAATCCAATGTCAGAAAATTAGATAGGTTTATACCAGTTTGTAATAATTTTAGACCGATTGCATAACGTTGTCGTTCATCAATTATTGCTACAAACGATTTGAAATAAGTTTAGACCGATTGCATAAAGTTTCCGTTCATCAATTTTTGCTACAAACAAGACAAAAAGTACACATCACTTCATACCGATCTAGCTTCCGTAAACCATTTTTCAAGGGTTTTCCATCTGGTCGGACAATATTTCTTAGCATCTTCGATAGTGCTGCATTTTGCGTGTGCATCCCTGTCAGATTCGTTTTTAGGAAAAGCTTCATCATTGAAGTATTCGTCAGTAGAGTTGAGTTGTTCCTTGAATTTCTTGATAGCTGTAGCTTCGTTTTGTTCTCCAGTAGCACTTTTGGCAGCCTCCTTAGCCTATGTAGAACCAGTGGAAAGTTATTAAAATTTCTCTAAGGATGCTCTATTAGTTCTGAGTTCCAAACCCATACCATCTCATAGATCGCTTACATAAAAAAATTTAACCTCTATTCAAACATTGGCTTTAGCATATCTTGTCTCATGTCATAAAAGCGTTCATTATAAGGCAAGGTGGTCGAGCGCTCTAACTGCTGCTTTCTTGGTCGGGATTTTCCCATATCGCATATCGTATTTTGCCATATACATACAAGTATGTACGTATATCGGACTGTTTCCACGGAAACGGTAATACGCCGTGTATTCTTTTGTTTGTCGCGAAAGCCGGCAAGTTCAGAATAAACAAGATGTTTCCGAGAGTCATATATAAATTACTTGCTAACCTCGCTTGCCTGAACTGTTCTAGGAAATATTTTTCTGCGAACGACCGTTTTTGTTCGTACTTCCTCGACCTCGGGCTCATATTCCCCTGTGCGGCCCTAACGCTCGGCTAGTAATTAAGAAACAAGTCACGTTACTCTGTTTTTCTGTCATTTACAATTATTCGAAATGTTTATCGCCCATCGTGAAACTCTTCTCTGTATACAGAGAAGGGAAGGGAAGATTTGCTGAGAACTGTACAGCTTGTCAATTCGATCAATTAGTTGTATCCAAGAATAATCCTTCTGTAATTCTAAATAAAGTAAGAAAAACTCTCGAAGAACCCTCCCAAAGAGTCTTTTTCGTCCATAACTTGATTTCAAGTACATACCAACGGGTAGAGCATTTTTAACTGCTCCCATCCCAGCCTGTGCACATCCATCGGCGTCATATCATTAGTCGTGAAATATGGTAAGATCATAGCGTATGCTTCAGAACCGTTCAACCTGTCACCGTTAGATAGTTCTGGATTTGTTGGCCAAGATGTATTTTCCTTTCCATCGTACCAAACGTGAGCTAAAGGTAGAGAGGCCAATCCACTAGACACGTTACTTGGAACGCAGTAGCGGTAATGCTCGTACTGAAGATACCTATAAGACACTTGAAGGTAAGCAGGCTTATAAAGCAAGCACTGAGGATGTTTCTGGGAGACTTTTACGTTAAGATAATTTGTTCTCATCATCCCTGTTGATAATGTTAATTAGCCATCATTAAAAAGTTACTTCAGCTGTATAAAGTCATTACGTTAACCAATTTACATTATCGACTCAGTGGATAAAAATGACCATTCTTTTAATACCCTTGATGCACGCAGCATCAGAAACTTATCCCCTTTATCCATACTGTTTAGTAGCTCAGTATGATAATTACAAGCTTAGCAATAATTTTCATTAGAGGTGTTTTTTTTGACTTATTTAAACCTTGAAAATGAATGGAAATAATGTATTATCATAAGCCATTCAGTAAAGATTATAATAAGCCAATTAATCATTTCTTATTCCTTTTGGCAGTCTTATCTTACAGGTATGATTTAGCACGCTCGACATGTAGAAAATCATTTTGTAAAGCGTAAACATCTCGAAGGTAGCTAAACGTGATTCGCTAGTTAAGTGTAAAAACATGACGAAGGTTAGAGATTGACAGCTCAGTAAGCGTCACTTTTATAGGCGGTGACCCATACTTTCATCGTGAGATCAGAGCTAGTCCCGAGGTAATAAGTTGTATATGTAAGAAAGAGAAGAATAAAGAAAAATCTTCAACTAAACAACTTGTGTTAGAAAATAATTCTAACATTAAAATGTTAGAAACACATATACATAAAACACATTGATAAACACCAAAGCATTTTTAGCGCTAGTTTTACGCAACAAAAGGTATGGTTGTGTGGAGTCGTCAAAACATAAGTTTGTGTGATCATTCTAAGTTTCTTCTGCTTTACCTCAACAGTTCCGTCATTGGCTTTCCCATGTACTCCACAAGGTATTCACTTAAGGACTCATTCACCGTCATTCCATTATGGCTACTCTTCCATTGGCTTTTCATTTCGTCCGTGATTTTACTATAATAATCATCATTAAGAGCTTGGCTGACGTATTTCTCATACAACACACCTGGGAATTAAAAAAAAAAGAATTCATTTAAAAATGGTACGAATTTTACAGGTGAAACATCCGAAAATTCATCTTTTTCGTTTTAATTCGCTCCTCAATTGGTCGACAAAACTCGCGCGTTTCTCTCTACCAATCGGAGAGAACGCCGAGACCAATCGCTTCTTCATGGTTAGCTTCGGTTTTTTGCCCTTCAAGTAGGATGACTGTTTTTGCTTCGAGGTCTTTTTGGATCCTTACGACAGTCCCTTGTTCTCACAAATCCTTAGTCCTGGTCTCAGACTCTCAGTGGAATTTCGACGGATATATATATATAATGATCCATTTCACTATTGCAAGAGGTTGCTCAATAATGCTTAATCATGCAATGTTAATTAAGTTATGCTCTGCCAGCGATCATTCTTCATCGCCTGGTGAGGTTTAAGGATTTTGGTTATGTCGCGATCAAAAATTTACCTGACCACCCAAAGATTAGATTTGAGCTCACCTTCTAGTATGACAAAAGCATATTACTGGGATACCTGTGGTAGCCCAGTCATAAAATGCCTTTGTTTTTTTGTCGTCTTTTTTTTTTCCTCCGCCACAAAATGGAAAAATTGCGCAATAGTACCCAGTGGTCATTGGGTCCTCAACACCATGACAACTAACTGTGATCCAATGAGGTGTTCACATACTGATCACGCGTGTTATCTTGATGATGATTGACGTTGTCATGCACAGACAGGGCCCGGTCACATGACGAATCACGAGATTTTTGCTTATAAAACTCTTTGGTCGGTTGTTTTGCATTTCAACGTATTTGGATTGCGATCTCCTGGAGCATTATGGCGCAACGCGCAAAATAGTTACAGACGCATATACAAGTCGTATTAATCGCGGCTTATCCACCCTGAAAGATGTTATTAAGCGGTAATTTTGGAACGGATTGAGTCGCGAACGCTTGAAAGCCATGAAAGCCTTGAATGCCTTGTATGCTAAGTATGCCAATGTCTTAGTTGAAAAACGTTCACTTGTTGAAAAAAGCAAAATCTGAAATCTGAAACCAAACTGCATATACTCTATGCAATCTATTGAACAACACTACTACCGTGAGACTAAAGAACATATCTATAATGGATGCAAACTGCTTGGGAAGAAAGACGACATGTTGGATTCACTTGATGGCAAGGAACGTAGCTAAGATAACAGTACGAATGGTATTAATTTCACGATCAGAAAGGTGAATCTTATGTTTGTTTTCAATGTAGTTGTATGGATATTCTTTTTAATAAATACGTGATCCAAAACCCTGTGTTTTTTTTGTGTATAATGTTGTTATGTTAAATATTGTTTACGCATTTGTCTTGTCACAGGCGGCCCAAGCTCACGTCTCGAGAAAAAGCCAACGATTAATTCATGAACGCGTCACGCGTTGTGTGACTCGGTCTTAAGTTACGAGAGGAACTGTTGGAAATTTGAACACGTCATAAGGAATAGTATAGGGAACGAAGTATGGTCGATTTAAAACGATAAATATTTCGAAATATGAACATTTTTCTCGTAAAATCAATAAAACTTACTCATACCCTGTGTATCCGTTTTATTTTTTGGCGATTTCTGCCGTTTTAAGCTTGCTTTACCATCACTGTTATTCACGTCATCTACTTTTATTACGTTGGTAAAATCTGTATAAAGAATCTTTATTGTTTGAGACCTCATAATTTAAGCTAATCAACGCGAAGGACTAATATTTGGTCCGGTTATATCGGTTAGCAAAAAAAACCAGATCGATGTTTTCACCTAAAAGTATGAAAGCTTTTAAGATTTTAAACCTCTCTTTGAATGCATAAGGCATCACCTTTGTAATTGCTTAGGGTTAGGTTTAAGCAACCCAAGCAGTGGGATTATTTACACAACAATAAAGGTGCGAGAACAAGAAAACTTGATCGTCAGGTTTTTCCTAAAGGTTTTCCGTTTTAAAAAAATTACTTCAGTTTAGTCCATCAACGGAATCTTCGCGAAAAGTTCTGTTTCTGTCACATCTAAGCCGGCTACTCAAAAGTAATTTTGTTTTCTTAAGACTTGACGTTTTAATAATTTAAAAACACAAGACGTTCTTTAAAACGCGTTATACGACGTCAATAATTTTTTTGTTTAGATAGTATCAGTTAAGAAACAAAGAGATAACCACTGCAACCGAGTTATGTTTCACCTTGTTGACTGATTACTTGATTGCAAATCATGTGGCTTGCTATAATTTTAACTCTGTTGGAAAAGGAGGAAACCTGAACTCATTTATACATGCGTCATACAAGATTATGTTCCATCCTGCCTTGGAATGAGGCGCGTGTTGTTATCCTACTTTTGGGGTAGGATTACACTAACGTACTTTCTGGCTAGTTAGTTAATCCCCTAGCTAATTATCATGGCCATTTCAGCAAGAAACATTAACAAACTGCTGCCGTTTTACGTAAACAATACTCTTGATCGGCGGAAACAGGTATCAAATTGAATTTCTCCTTGCTATAGCGGTGGAAAGAAATCTAAGTTCAGAGTTTCACTTGGTCTGTTAAGTCACTTTGACAGAAAGGCGATCTTTTGAAAAGAAACAGAAAGTACAAGCAATAAAATCAAGGCGCCTGAAGATACTTTAAGTTTGTAAGAAAGAAAATTCCCATACCCCATCACAAATCAAAATATAAAAACAAACCTGTTTCGTTTTTCAAGGCGATCTTCAGGAATTTATTTCTGAGTGCATTCCTTCCCGCTTCACAAGCATCTTGACTATAAACCATGCCGTGCAACTTTCCCATTTTCAGATTTTCTATGTATCTCAAAATTCCTTCCTTGTGAGTTTTTAGCTTCTCTTCTATAAGTTCTATATCCTGCAAGTTTTCGGGTTTTAGACTTCTAAACAATCCTTGCAAATGCGCACCCAAGTTACAGATGACTTGTTGCCTCGGATGGCAGTAGAATGTTGGACCCATCATCCAATCTCCGGCGTAGAAATTCATGTCAAAAGGCTGACCGAATACAGTCTTTAAATAATGTTTTAGCTGTGATAGTGCTTTCCTTTCGCGTGGCTTGAGCTTTTTAGAGTCCACTTTTATTTCCTTGACCTCATTGTAGAGACTCCGCGCTGCATCAGTAACACTTTTTATGTAATCTGGCGTTGGATTGTATGCTGTGTACTTCTTCTTGATTTCCTCTCGAGAGGCATCGGGGTCTTGCGGCAGCATGAAAGGATGTTTCTCATAATATTTCTTCTTTGCGCGCATAATTATCTCCTCTAGACGGATCCGTTTGGCTTCTTCAGAGTAGTCACAGTAGGATGATGCTGCGGACGACGTCGATGTGGACGAAGCCTTACTGTCAGTCTCCCCTTTCTTTTCAGTTGCAAGAACTATTAAGACGATTCCTACGATCAATACGATAGCAGCGATTGCAGCGAATAGGATAAGGAATATCCTACCCTTTGACTTACCCCCTTCGAATGCAATATCGGCGACCATGATTTCTATTTACCTTGACCTCCTTGGTAGCTGAAACGAGTACAACATCTATTCAGTTGCGGGCCAGGGCAGAGCAATGTTTACCCTTCAGCTGTGTACCCGCAAAAAAAATATTTACATAATTTACATTTTTGGCTGTCGCTTTAGTGTGCCACTTGGCTCGCTTCAACTTAATTTATCAGTTCTAGATGTTTCGATTATATTTCATGCTCCAACAATTTGATAACTTCCCAAGTATAAATTTCTACGGAGTCAAGTCAAGAAAATTTGAGAGGTGCTCGACCTCAAGGCAAAGTCAATCCATTAACTTCTCTTCAAGAGTTATGAATATTTGCTTATCTTGATTGACGTGACACCAAGGTATTTTATATAAACTGATAGGCTGTCTTTCGTATCACGGTTTATTTATTTTTCTGTAGAAATAAAGAACATCGGTTACAGAAATCATTTTAAGAGTAGGCAGCTTTTGAGAGGCATTTACGAAGAACTGTTGCGTGAGGGTTTTTTCCGCTTTGTAACTGAGCTGTGATCAAAATGTTTTTGTTTCAATTGCTGTGCCCAGCTTATTTCAATAATCTGGCAGAGACGCAAAACCAAAAACTGTGCCAACTGACTGTTCAGGAGGATCAAAAGTTAAAAATCAGTCAATTAGTTTATGGCTCAAAATCATTTCAAAAAATCTTTGGATACAATTGCACATTACAAATAATGCGGAAAGGGTCTCAGTATTTTTTCCCGGTGGAGTCCTGATTTTTTAGTATCTTTTGACTCGTCCATGCTTTTCTTTGGTGGATTAAGGATGAAGTCACAGCCTTCCTTTCCTTTATCCTTGACGCACGCCACATACTTTTTCACGTGATCAGATAAATAAGCTAGTGGAGATGACCCCTGGGACAACACCTGAAAAAGATACCATAAGGATAAGGATGTCAGTCCTTTTGAAAACACACCCAGGTTACTTTCGCGGTTAGCAACCCACCCGATAAGCCACCATCTCCTCGTCCCGTTCTTGTCCCTTAAGTATCCCTCCGCCTTGCATGCCTAAAATGCTTTTCAGCAAGTGAAGTACCACTCGATCTTGCAGTGAAACGTCTTGGGTAAGATGCCACACTTTGCAGTGTGCAGCATTTTCCCCTTCTTTAATGCAAGCCGAATATTTTATTTTCTTAGGGTTAGGGTTATTTGAGTTGTGGGAGAGAGGAAGAAGGCAGAGAAATTACCTGATAATGAAATTCAGGCAACCTGAAATTATCTCCCAGCGCATCTTTGCAATAGTTCCTAAGTCGTGCAATCTCCAACTGACCGATCATGTAAGCGGTCGCCTGTCCTGGGTCGCTCTGGTAACGAGTCACCTAATAAGCCAGGTCATATAAGGGTCAATAAGATAAAAAAGAGAATAACTGTTTTCAAGTGAGATAGATTTGGAAGGATAGGAGTGTTGGCAGCCAGTGGCGAGTAGGAGGAGGGCCTTTTTACATGTGATGTTCATCTTAATTGATGCACCCCAGCCGCTCTTGCTCTATGCTTTTACCCTTTGGAAGGCTATTTGGTCTTTGAGCAAGCGCGCTAACTTCGGACTTAAATTTCCTGGTTTGGATTCAACTTCGAAGCCAAAACAAGAATTTTAGTGTGAATCCAAGGCAGGGTCAGTTTACAAACCAAGCGTGTCCAATAATGTTGTTAGACAAGACAGTCACAATCAGGGAACACGTAACGGTAGCTAAAAGCCCCGACCTCTTTAGAATTTGAATTCAAAGTTTGATTAAATGAATTCAAAATATGAATAAATATAAACGAAGCACTAAAATAATAATTAGCTAACTAAATACTTCACAACAGTGGGAAGAAAATTAATGTACCTCTTTCTTTGCAAGGTCTGTATCGTCCCATGCATATTTATTGAAATATTCCAGGGCATCATCGCGAGACAATCCAACGTAATGTAAACCAGTGTCCACAATCAGCCGAAGAGCTCTCCACACCTTAAAGAATTGAGAAATGCAGTGAAATTGGGCAGAACAGAAGCCACATAAATAATGGTTATTGAACCGACTGGAGTGCAATTTGGTCTGAGATCATGCGCGTGAATAGGATGCGGTTTAGAGCAAAAAATGTGCGATGCGTGAATAAATCGCACTGCCGAGAGCCAATAATATTTCAAGGATCACTAATGATTTCAAAATGGATGTTATAAAAAAAGATATATCATGATGGACCACAGCAACTGAAATCCTAGTGAGGTTGAATGGGACAGAAATATAGAGTGGCTGAAGTCGAAGCATAAAGTGTGAACTCCTCCTTCGCTTGTAGACGTTTCTACTTGATCAGAAGGCTATACTTTCTTACCTGCCACTTAAGCATTCCATACTTCTGGAGGGGTTCGTTCTCGTACGTGTCCGTATCTTGAGCGATTAACGGATTCTCAGCGTACAACGCCCATCCCTCTGAAAACGCTGTGTAGTAGGTGATGCTATCCAGCCAGCTTATAACACCGCCACAACTGTCTTGGAAATGTTCTATGTGACCCTGAACCTTTGGAGAGAGAGATTATGGACGTTACTCCCATTATATCATACCAGGTGTTTACCATTCGAATTGAAAATTTGGCCATGAAACAATAGGATTCCCGTCATACTATTTGAGACGTTTCAGAAATTCACGTTCCGCCCACTTTGCTTTCTCTTCGATTTTTCAGTATGTTTTTTTTTGTGAGCTTTAAATCTTTGTCTACTGAAATGTAAAGTTCTACCTTTAAAAAATTGCAGTTAAATTCCTGCGTATATTGTCTTGAGAACCCTATATGTACCCAGTCAGTGAACAAACTGTTCGATTTCAAATATACAAAGGTAACCGTTTTTCAATTAGTCAAAGAAACAGATGAATACATCATCTTGTTCAATGATTTTCTTTTGGTTGAGATGAATGCGATGTGAATAAGAACAGTTCCATCCTGTATACGGAGGTGTCGAAGGGAGGGTCAAAGATTAACACAAACACAGTCAGACTAAAGTTGCAATTCTACGGAGCTTGCATTGACCTGTGTGTGGTGACCAGGCCTCGCCTCGTGTGCATTGACGCTCCATTCATGGTACCGTGGACCAAAGTTTTCCAGGAAAAACGGAATCCTATACTTTGCGCTTCTTTCGCAATCTGGAGTACTAGAGTAATAACTTTGAGTTCCACTGGATGGGTTCAAATCCGGAATTAAATCAACTGGACAAGTGGGTGTGGTCGCTTTGTCACCGTTGAAGTAGAACAGTGGAATGGTCTTGGGCTCTATGAAGCTCATCACCTTAATATGGTAGGAAATATAAACACATTTTTTTTTTGATTGACTGATTGAACTGACTATCTGCACTGACTTCTTCAGTGACTGACTTACTAGGTTACTGCCCGAATGACTGACTGACTCACTGACTCACTGATTGAGTGAGTGGCTGACAGACTCATTAAACAACTTACCGACTTGCCTGCACAGACTCATTAAGTGACTGACCTCCGGGGTTACTGCCTGACTGATTGACTTAGTGATCGATTCACTGGCTGACGGACGGACTGACTTATAGACTGATTGACGTAATGACTTGAAGACTTACTAACTTACCGACTGACTAGCTTACTGACTGACGGAACGACTGAATGTTTGACTTATAATCAAACTGGCTAAACGACAGACCCCACTGATTACTTGATACACACGTTAATCGTCTGAGAAACTGACTGGCTTAATTACTGTCGTCTTACATGACTGATGACGTGCTATTAAAATACACTGCCGTGTTTTTGCGTGACACGCTAACTACAGACTAGTTAAGGAGAAGGAACTTCGACAAATTTTCTATTAATCGCCTGTTGCCGAATGATTTATTTCTACCTGTTTTTATGCTGATAGTTTCGGAAAGAAACTTACCTTTCTTACTTCAGCAAACCACAGCTGAAGGGCAGCCCAACGTTTAGGGCAATATTTCTTAGCTCCTTCAATATCGCTGCATTTTCTGTGTGCTTCTTTATCAGACTCGTTTTTCGGGAATTGCTCTGAGTTAAAATAAAACTCAGAAGAGTTCAGTCTTTCTCTGAACTTCGTCACAGCGGTTTGGTTGTCCTTCTCTCCAGTGACTTCCTTTGCAACGTCAACGACCTATAAATTTCGATTTTGATAATCGTTGAAAGAAAAAAATTGAAAAGAATGGTAAGTGACTGAGAGAATTAAGGAACGAAATAACGAACGAATTGATAAATAAATGAACGGACGAACACATCCTTTACGTTTTAAAATCGACTTTTTTGTAATAATATTGTCTTCCAAAAACAGAGAATTGAACACTCGTTCGGAATACTAAGTGCTTGCCCCTCCATTCACTCTACGTGTTAGTATAAAATGGCAAATTGTACTAGGGTTATCTTGTGATAATAGCGGAAAGAGAGAATGAGCTAAGCGTACAAACAACTAACCATGGGATAGAGAATATCGAGCTGCTTTTTACCAAGCTCATGAACTTCCATTGGCGTTATTTTGTTTGTTGTGAAATACGACATGATTTTAGAATAGGCCAGCGATCCATTCAGCGGTTCACCAGTGGGTAGGTTTGGTTCTGTTGGCCAGGACTTGTTTTCTTTACCATCGATCCACACATATTTCAGGGGTAGGGAAGCTAAACCGCTGGATACATTGCTTGGAACGCAATGACGAAAGTGTTCCTTCTCAATGTATCTGAGACATAGAAAAGTATTTTAGGTGTGTCATGACTACTACAGCTATTGTAGTGATTATAGACAGTTTCCAGCTGATTATCTGAGGAAATGCGGGAGAGTAATGTTTTGCTTTGCCGCGTTCCCTGATCGATCTCATTCATCCAATCAAATGCAAATCAAAAAATTTACTCTGTTTTACTTTAGGTACTCGTTGGCACTTTGTGATCACCCGATGCTAGGTTTTATGAAAATCAGTTGAGCACTCTATCGTACACAATGCTTGTACTACATTATACCAAAGTGCATAACGAGTAAGGCCTCCCGTCATTCCCAAGTGAATTGTCACCAGGCAATACAACGCACCGATAAGGCATTGGTCACACTTTAACATGCTGGGCTAAAAAGACACGTTAAAAGTGTAAAGGAAACTTCTAGCATAGTAAGAACTTTATTGAAATATGTTGTAGGTTTTAAGGTAAGGCTTAAGTTTTATGGGGTAGGCATATCTATTTCTATTTATCTATTTATTTATCATTTGTCTTTATTAAATATTAAAAGGGGAACAAAGCTAATTTACAGAAATAATTCACGGGAAATATAAAATAGAGAAAAGAAAAGGCGAGAAAGTCTCAGCAAACCATGAATACTTATAAGTAAGGCTCCCTCCTAAAACTAGAGTTTAAGTCAAACTAGAAAGTGGAACGTAATTTAACAAGTTTAAAGTTAAAAGAAAATTTTATCACTTAATATTAATCGCCTTGCTATATAGTTCATTGATTATTTTGCAAATTAATTAAATGGGATTAAGTAACCGTTTGAAAGATCTTACATTGTAAGATTCAATTATCGAATGAGGCAGAGAGTTCCACAATTTTGGTCCTTGGTATAAAATTGTGAATTGTTTGATGTTAGTTCTACCTATGCATGATACTCGCATCACTATACGAGAAGATCTACCCATAAGCTTAGTACCTCAACATCTGTTCGAGCGGCTCTCCAAGATATTTCACCAGATATTCTTTGACGGTTTCGCTGACATTCTTTCCTTTGTGTTCTGCCTTCCATTTCTTGTCGGTCACTTCTGTGATATTACTGTAATATAGTGGATCCAGCAGGGGTTGAACGAACCACTCGTTCAGCACGCCTGCAAAAAGCAAATTGGAACCCAGAATTTATTTCTCTACAATGAGGCTCAATTAAGATATTACTCATGATGGAGACACGAACAGCAGTCACTGTGGAAAAGCAGGAATCGATGTTCTCGCATCTGGTCGAGTACATGTTGCTACTGAGGGTCTGTTTACATGGAGGTGGGGGACCCTAGGTAGGTGAGGTAACCCGCCTTAGTGGGGTAACCCGCCTGTCCATATAATTTCTTATTTTATCTTGATCACGTTTACATGATAGGTGGGGTGACCCGCCTAGGCGGGTTGCCCTGTCTGCCAGGTAGGGTAACCCTGTCAGCTGGAGTGACAATTTGTCATGTAAACGTGTCAAGATGGGGTAACCCGCCTAGCCGGGGCCGCGTTAATGGCAAAAAGCTCAAAAGCAAAACATGTGTGTTTTATAACTTTGTACATTTCCTAGCCGTCTCATGGCAGAAATCACCCGAAACCGCAACGGACACACAAGGAGTATAAAATGTTCACATTTCGGAATATTTAGCGTTGTAAATCAACCATATTTGGTTTCCCAAACTATTCCGTAAAACATATTAAGTCAACGGTTCCTCGCGTAACCTGACACCGCGCAACACAACGGGTGACGCTTTCATGAATAAATACATATGTGTCCGAGAATTAATCTTTCATCTTTCTCGAGATGTGAGCTTGGGACGCCTCTGCTCAAACTCCTTGACTGCAAGTGCAACAACAACCTCAAGAAGCCTCACCCCAGCACCCCGGGGTTGTAAGATTGAATGTAAACGCGTTTTATTTTTCGACCACGGCTAGGCGGATTACCTCACTTACCTGCGGTCCCCCACTTTCATGTAAACAGGCCCTGAGTGGCGGTATCAATCAGGTTTTAGACCCAGAGATCCAATTTGATCAAAACGTACGTGCTGAGCCATTGTTTTGCTCATAAGATAATTTGTTTTGCCACGTCCTGCGTTGCGGTCGCCGTCTTGGTTAGCTTATGAACTTGGCGCGGAAAAAGTCACAAACAGTGGCTTTGTATATCTTATTTCCTTTGTGTTCACGAGGCGCGTAATATTTTGGTGACCTGATCGGGCACGCACGAGTGATTCACGTTGGAATGTATTGGACTGTTCAAAACAACTAGAATATTCAGTGGATCATGGCTGAAACACTACACCAGTACCAAGAGTCAAATCGGATACGTATAAATACATAAGGCCACGGACGGGTGACATACGAAGACATACGGAAACACACAAGTAAAATTTTCCATTTCTTTTCTTTTCGAATTAAATGAAGAGCCATTTTCCTGAACAGAGTCACCACGTCTTGAGCTTTTTGAACACAAGCACGATCGCGCCGCACACATAAGGCTGTCCTCTTTTAATTTATTTTCTTTTATTTTCATTCGATCCTCATCCAAAGGCGTTTTTTGATCCTGTTTTCTCGGGAGGAGAAAACTCCACCAGATCATCTGAAAGTCGACCAAACCTCGGGAGAGTTATGCTTCCTGTGCATCGTCGCATAACGACAAGGGTAGGCCAGTGAATTCTAACGTTGGCAATCATAGTCACGCAAATTAAACGAAAAATTCAAATAGAGAGACCTTGAGACTCTTGTTTCGCTGAGAGTTAAGTTGTAAAATCCGTGGAAATGCATACAAAGGTGCTTTTGAATACACTTGCCCTTTTGCTGCTTTTTCTGACTTTACACTCACAATCACACGACGAAAATCATTACCCTTTGCAGAATCGGTTGTTTGGAAATTTTCACGGGGTAAAATTCAGCGGTCGAGACGTTTTCGAATAAATGTTAAGAAATGTTCCATGTGTTAGGGTTTTTCACATTAGCATTTAGTGATAAACTCATTAGCATGAACGAATTCTACGAATTCACTCTTAGTTAAGTGGGTGCCACGCTTGGGTAAAGCTTTTTGAATTAATGTTCTTGATTTGTTTGCAGTTTTGCCTGTTAAACTCAAAAGAGGATGAGGTATTCTCTTTTTTTTAAAAGCATCCTATAAAGTATTTATTAGCAATTTGTTGATCCATCCCCGTTCGCTCTAAATGCACGTCTCTCTCACTTTTCTCCAATCAGTTTGCCACGTCACGCGCGGCGAAACTTCAACTGGGAAGGAAATGAAAGGAATAAGCATTTGCCTAATTGATTTGCGTTCCAGGAAGAGCGTTTTTTTTCTAAATGTTATTTGCGTTTTTTCCTTAATATTATTTGCTTCAATTCACTTATTGACCTCTTATCATCTCATGCAAGGTCCTTAATGAATGTTCAAGTTACACGACACTTGAATAAAGTTTATTATTAATAATGCACTAAATGACCTCTTCTCGTCTCATCCAAGGTCCATTGGAAAAAAGGCTAAAAAGAACTCATTAAAAACTGTCTAAATATTTGAACTTCATACCTGTCGCGTTGTGTAAAGAAATGCCAGAATATACCAATTCGATGGAGTCAATACCAGCTTTGCACTCTTCTACACTTCTGACCATTCCTCGGCGAACTCCTATCTTCATGTTCTCGATGTATTGTAAAATACCAGCTTTGTGAGTTTTGAGTTTCTTTTCTATGAGCTCCACGTCCGATGCATTGAAAGGTTTGTGATATGATCCCAGGCCTTGATAAACACCATATCCATGGTAGCAAATTGCCTGCCAGCAAAACAAATTCGGTCCCAACATCCAGTCTCCTGCGTAATAATTCACATCATAAGGCTGACCGAATATATGCTGCAGATAATGCTTCACTTGAGCAATTGCCTTCCTTTCTCGGGACTTTAACGCGTCTTCATTGATCTTTTTGTCAGTGATTTCTTTCAGCAAAGCCAAAGACTTATCCGTGCGGGTTTTAATGACGGCTGGTGTTGGATCGTAAGCAACGTATTCTGCCTTGACTGTCTCTGTTTTTACGTCTGGGTCTTGAAACACATCGTAAGGATGAAGTTCGTAATATGTTGCCTGAACTCGACTAAGGAATTCATCGAGGCCAATTCGTTTAGCTTCTTCTGAACCGTCGCATCCACCTGACAGAGAAGTCTCCCGTTTTGCGATGTTTGAATCATGCGTTTTCTCATCCTTCTCTTTTAATGCAATTACGGTTAGCACAATTCCCACCACGAGAAAGATTACTCCGACAGCCAGTAAGACTAATGAGACGATTCTAAATTTAGAATCTCTTCCTTCGAATTTGATGCTTCTTTGGTCCGAAAAGATCATTTCTGAACTTTTATTCAGCTCCATGATGCCAAGTTCTGAACAGGGTCTGAACTGAACCAGTTTAAGGGAAGGAGGAGATTAAATTCACTGTCGCCTGTGGCGTTAACAAGCCACTCCCTGGACTGAACCAGTAATTGTGTGGGTCTCGAAGATCACACGAGAACAAAGTTAAAACAATTTAAACGATAATTTGCATAATATGAAAGGCAATTGAAGCAACTGGATTTTGCATTTCTAATTTATGGTCAACTAACTGCGAAATGAATTTATATTGGTTTTCTTTCGATTAAACTACTGTTTTCATGTTCTGTTTCAATTCAATCAAGTTTCGCGTTTTTGAGTGAGGTTGGATAAGAATTGCGGAAAGCCAGTAGCATTTTACTTCTTGCCAGTATAGGCGTTGTTCTTGTTAGATAATTCTTGTGGCTAATTGATTTCAACTGAGTCAGTCGTTTCGTTAGTTTTTGCTAGCGCCGTGTTTCTATCAGTAGTTTTACTGTCGGACCTAGTAACGCCACAAATTGTAGGTTCGTTTCTATTTCATGTACCTATGTCGTTATTCCGGTTGTTGTTATATTTGTACATGGATGTTTGTAATTTATTTTCAGTCGAATCACATATACACATCTTTACATCTAAATATTCGTCTATCTGGTAAATAGATTAAATATGCACTTATTTTGTGGCGTTAAACGTGTAGTATTTATCTATAGTAATGACTGTACATAGTGTTACGACGTATCGTCCGGGAAATAAGCTTCAAAGAAACTCGCGCTATGGAGAGACACCAAGACTCTTTTTTTATGCTTTTCTAGTTTTTTTTCCATATTTGTGCTTTCCGCGGCTAGAAAATAAAAATGCCTCTTCTGCTTCTATTGAAGTGTTTTTCTAAAGCATGCCCCTAAGTATTCTATCAGTTGATGGTAAGCATATTTGGGTTATGAGCTGAGAGACCTAGCCGGGGAAAAAAGTTCCTAGACCTTGGAAGTTTAACCCCTATACTTAAACAATAAACCAAATTCTTTTAAGGAGACTTAAAGAACAACTTAAAGAATAAAGTACGTGATTTTTTACCAAATATAAGGCCAATCTCTGAACACAAAAATCAAAACAGGAATTAACTCTGTTGTTGGTCCTAGCCGAGGTCAGGAGACAAACCCAAACATTTTCACCCGCGGAAACTGTTACTGGAGCGGCAAACAACTCAAACGTTAAGCTATGTGTTCGATCTTGCACACCCTCGGGCACAAGACCCACGCAAGGATTACAGAATAATCAGTCAAAGGAAAAAAACTTTAAAATAACTCATGATAAAGTACCCCACACAGAAAAGCTAATAATATGATAACAAGCCAAAACGGGCAAAAATTAGGAAATCAACGAGCGGGCTAAGGGTACGAGTGATAATCTCAAACTATAGTTCTTCACAACAATAGGAAACCTTGCCTTAACACCTATCCATTAAGCAAGCTGATGGTTTTGCCTAACGGTTGGCAAGCCGATGTAACATATGACCCCTCCAAGTCCGAGAAATATTATCGGGAGGTGTAAACAGAGAGCTGAAGGCATTTTATGACGCAGTGAATGATAAGCCGAATGGATTTCTTAACATTCACCCAAGGTTCTTGTCGCCATGGCTGAAATCTTAGGACTCAGTCAAAATTGAATCGTAAGTCAAATTGGCTCTGACCTCATTATTTTGATCTTTAAGTCATTCGTAGTTGTATAGTCTGGCTTTTTAAGACTGCCTGTCGCCAATTATTCGCGGGCTATTTGTCAAGGTCATCCGAATGTTCTTTTGAAATGTCGGTGAAATGTCTTCGAGGCGTCTGGCGATAATAATGACCTCTTAACGTCTCTCTCTACCGCCCCAAACTTTCTCGCGGGCGAAAAAACCCTTCCATAGGCGTTGAGGTAGCCGTTAGTGATCGTGATATGGATGGAAGACGAGCATATTGAGTTAAAATGCCAAAAAAAATTCATGTTAATTAGGTTTGTTTATTGATTTAAACCCACAATTTTGAATGCAAAGGGCAATTTAACTACATATCATACTGTATTGAAAGTTTTTTTTTAAGCATTTCAATCAAACCCAGTATTCATTGAGCTCGAATAATGGGGAAAGAAATTCTTGCAAATTAAGACAAATTTTTTAAAAAGCTTTAAAATTTACTCAGCGAACAACAATAAATTGCACCGATAGCTCATCTGTAATATATGACCCGCTTAAGTTAATCATCTTTGGCCAGAGACCTTGTGCCTTGACTGTTTTCTTTGCTTAACTTTTCTTTGGGGGGTTCATGATTACGTCACAACCTTCCCTGGCCTGATTCTTGACACAAGCCACATATTCTTTCACGTGGTCCGTCAAGTAACCAAGAGGTGACGATCCTTGTGACAGAATCTGAATAAAGAAGATATGAATAAATACAAAAGGTGTAAAGGTTTAAATTACAAACGACAGCCGTAAACTCTATTACAAAGGAAGGGGAAAACCTTACAGTTACTAGAATTGTGTAATGTCGAGGTGTCCGGAGTTTGAGGAAATAACGTTACTGACTGGTTAAGGTTTTATGACAGTCATGCACTGAATTCCACTAGTCCCTTATCTTCACATTTTATTTTACATCTGCTTGACTCTGATTGCAGTTAATACATGACAAAACGAATCTCTATCCTTACCTGGTAATGAAAGTCCCGCAGATCGAATTTATCTCCCAGTTCTTTCTCTGCATATTGTCTGGCCTCAAGAATTATCCCCTGTCCTACCATGTAAGAGGTGGCTTGTCCAGGAATGCTTTCGTACCGGACTGCCTGTTGTGTACATTAAGAATTGAAATCTTCAATTTAACAATATGTTAACTGATAAAAACAACACTTTCAGTCTTTGAGTTTGTGGGGAAAGCGGTTTAAAAAGATTACAAATGAATTATGATCAGACAAACATTGCTTTTTACAATGTTTCTTTTTACCTCACTCAGGACAAAAGGTGACTCTTCCCAAGCATAGTTTTTAAAATAGTCGAGGACCTTATCTCTTTTCATACCATAGTAGTTCAAACCAGGATCCACGATCAATCGGATAGATCGCCACACCTTAAATAAGAACGACATTAAAAATTTCACAATTACGGTGTGACAGTGACAATCAATTGCAGCGACTGAAAGACTCAAATATCTCACGTAACCATATCAGAAGGACTGAGTTCTTATAAAGCAAAAACAGTATATGGGTCTACTCTGCTGTGGTTTATGTATCCTTACCAGCCACTTCAACATTCCGTATTTCTGCATGGGTTCGTCGTCGTACATGTCTGTATCTCGCCCAATCAGAGGATACTCAGCGTACAAGGCCCATCCCTCCTTGAAGCCTGTATAAGAGGTGCGACCATCAAGCCAGGCAATCGCACCACCACAGCTATCAAGGAAATGCTCCAGGTGTCCCTGTACCTGTAAAAAGAATTTAAAAAAAAAACTTATCTCAATTTAGCTGAGCTCGGCTCAAATATCATTCAAGCGGACAAACCACTTTTGTCGAGGATGAAAGTTAATGTACACGTGTATTTTATTTGTGCTCGCAAATTGAAGCAAACAAAAAATTCCTCAAAACTGAAGACCAACGAATTTCAAAATGCAGCAATTGCAAAATACAATTTTTTAGATGGCTTCATATATCTCCGTGACAAGTTCTGCGCATTTTCTTTATCGAAGCTAAATTGCCCTCATTAGACGAATAGTTTTCGAACTAAAGATACTTAAAAAAACAAATGATTTACGTAGAAACTGAAGAAAACTTAAACCTGCAAATGGTGTCCAGGCATGGCCTCATGGGCATCAACACTCCATTCTTCATACGTTGGGAACAAGCTGAAAAATGGAATCTTGAATGTTGCACTTTCTGTGCAATTAGAGTCGCTGCTGTGGTAGCTCTGGAATGTCATAGCTGGATCAAAGTTGGGCTGGACGTCAATTGGACAGGTGGGAGTGGTTGCCTTATCTCCAGTAAAATGGAACATTGGAACAGTCTTTGGTGCAAGTAAACTCATGACCTGAAAATGGAGACGTTAAGACGGAGTGAACTAAGAGGTTAGTTTTAAGGAAATTCAATAAGCTTCATTTTTATATCACTTTTTTTCCTCCGGATTATGTTGATAAGGACGTGTTTCTGGTTCTCCTTAGCCTCATAACCCCATGCGCGCCTAGCAATTAACTTTTTCGAACCATCGAAACCTACCTTTCTTATTTCATCCATCCATGCCTGCACGGCAGCCCATCGTGTAGGGCAATGTTCTTTAGCCCCTTTAATATCACTGCATTTCCGCTCTGCTTCTTCGCCTGACTCGTTTTCAGGGATTGGTTTCGTGTTAAATGCAAACTTAGAAGTATCATTTAACAATTTCTTAAACTCCTGTTTCGCGATATCGTTATTGGCTTCTCCAGTTACCTCCCTTGCAACTTCTAAAACCTGCGGTCGGAAATAAAAAGGTTATTTTGATTTAACAGTTGCGTCAAAAGTTAAATTTATTCAACCATTTAGGTGAGGATGACGGCCCTCTCTTACTGGGCCATTTCACGATATCAACTAATCGCACTTGCTGCCATTCTTTGGCCCCTTTTCAAAGAAGCTTTCCTCTGAGCCAGAGCGTCTGGCCCAGAGGAAAGATTCATTGGGACGGTGGGAGGGGGATGTTGTATGACATCCCAAAGTGCCGTTTGTAAAGGGAACAAGGCACCAACTTACACATCAAGTAGAATTTTTTCGAGAATGTCTCGAAACCGAATAGGATCATTAGCATTGGCTGACTGCGCTAAAACTGTTGGGATCAGCTTTTGCGTGTACCATGTTTTTAATAGTGCAATGAGAAGCGTAGTATATTTTATGGAACTAGAGAATGTTCATTTAAGAAAACAATTCAAATTGCATAGGACTGAGTTGGTTCATCAGTACGGCTGCACTGATGCCGTTTTATTGTTTTGGTAACCAACGTAACCGCCCGATGCCATTTGTCAACGTACTATACAGTCATTACACTCGCTGTCGTAAACTAGAATTCACGGCTCACCATTGGATAATAAAGGTCGAGAAGTTTTTTCCCGAGCTCTGTAACTTCCATCGGGGTCATGTCGTTTGTTGTAAAATACGACAATATTGTGGTGTAAGCCAGCGATCCATTCAGTTGTTTATCATCGGATAGGTATGGGTTTGTTGACCAGGACTTGTTTTCTTTGCCATCAAGCCAAACATGTTTGAGTGGTAGAGTAGCCCAACCGCTGGATACATTACCTGGAACGCAGTGACGAATGTGTTCATCCTTGATGTATCTAAAGACGTGCAATACATTATCGTCAGTAAAGCGTTATTATATTTTCATTTCTTGCTCTTTTGATACAAACGTAATGGTTAAGGAGAGGCAGCGTGCCAGTGAACAACAGGCTGGTCGCAAAAGCCCTGAAAAGGGCTCCAGACTTAACAATGTAACACGAAGGTCAAGCTCAGTTTAGTGTACTCTCTTTTATATTATGACAAAATTTCAAACGTCGTGGATAGCAGTATATATACGGATGCAGGTGAAGTGAGTGCAACACGTACTGCCTCACCTCAATAAATGAACCAGCGGTTTCCCTAGGTAATCCACCAAATATCCTTTTACAGAGTCGCTGACATTTTTCCCATTGTGGCTTTTCTCCCACTCGCTATCTGTTTCTGTCGTTATACCACTATAAAAATTAGGATTTAACAGGGGTTGAACAAATGATTCTTGTAGCACACCTGGAAGAAAAAAAATGGGTAAGAATCTGCGTGTGGTTTACAGATTAATCTATTTATCACTAACGAGGAAAGTTCAACTAACTAATTTTTTGAATGGACAAAAGCAACATTTTAATTTTTTTTTTCTTTGAAGACAAACTTTATACTACCTATCGTAACATTAAACTCATTCAATTTACACTTTTTATTATGTTTGATTAATAAAAAATTTATGAATAACTGTTTTTGCATTGGAAGCACCAACTTAACGTTCTTTTTAAGATGAATTCCTTTGGACATTTTGTTTTGTTTGTTTATTTTATTAACTTTCACTAATGAAGCACTGCATCTTCTTGTTGTGGGCCTCAATCAGAGAAGTCACGCAATCGTTTGCCTCAAGTGCAAGTGTATTTTTGGAGCAGGGACACTCAGCACTTGTGTGTCCGCCATGTTGTAGAGGGTTAGGGAGATTATTTTTCATCAACCGCTTACGAAATCACGTCTCTTTAACTAGTCAAGGGGTCTTAAAATGTGATTTTGGCCTTATAAGGGATAAAAACGAAAGGTATTCTTTCCGGCCGCAAAGATATATTCATGAGGATAATCTGCAAAATGGTTATGATATTTGATGACATCTTTAGTCTTTATAATTTTCTATTAATCCCAGACAGTACCAAAATACGTGGAATATTTCCTAAGTTCAGAGCCTGAAATATGATTCGAACGAATTAATGAGGAATGGCGTTCCTTTGTAAGTCAAGGTTACTTCCCACCTTCGTGGGTGTCCTTCGGGAGAAAAAAAATTCCTATTCCTAATTCCTATTTATTTTTACTAAAATCCTAGCAAACTGTATATCAGAAGAAAGCTTAATAACTGTAGTTTACGATAAAAATATAGTTTACGTGAGTTTTCCTTTTAGGAAGTGTCAGGAGCCGGAAAGGCGTAAAACGACCGAGGGCTCTTTTATTGAGTTTATCGGGTATTGGATGCTGCAGCATTAGCAAAGTGGCTGCAGTCTTATTCACAAGGCATCAATCAACAAAAGTTCATTTTTTGCCCAGTTCAGGCTCTTTCCGATATTCTGATTGGTTGTTTAGATATCGGCATCTAAAGTTGAAGTAGCTAAAAATTATGCTAGGCGTTTTGCGTAAATGGACGCCAAGGGACAAATATTTCAAATATCAAAATTTCCCGACCCACTTTCGTTTTTTATTCTTCCTGAAATGTTTTAGAAAAAAAATTAGCAACAGTTCACCGAGCTGTCATATAACCTTTAAGAATGAAAAGCTCATTAGTTGAGGAGCTCAAAATAAAAACTTCTATAGTCGCACAAAGTAACTGTAATCAGCGGAAGTTGAATTAAGATGCCAAAGATGCCAAATAGCAGAACTGGAATCGGAAACCCTAACATCTAAGCATCATTTTTGCCATTTTTATCTTCCGATTACTCATTCAATTCGTTTGTTTTTTGAATATTAAATGTTTTTGATAGAATAAAATATTGCCACAAATTTAAAGGAGAAGAAATAACAGCTAATTCACAGGCGTTATCTTCTTGGCATTAAGCCTATAATTTTGAAATAGGATCGGAAAAATGTATTTATCCGTATGCCGGTATAAGCATTCATGAAATAAGCCAATGTTGACTGTGATCCGTCAATAATTTTGCGTTCCGCTGTAAAGCATCGTTAAGAATAAGTTACGAAGAGGTCCTGCTTTGCAATATTCTTGTTAACTCACATAATTTATTACAATTTTAGGGGAAGGTCAAGATTACGTAATAATCGAAGTGCATGAACGCATAACACATAACGTCTTCTTAAGCAAGACGGAGCCATACATCTGGATAGCTTCGCATACCTGTTTCGTTGTTTAGGTAAACCTTCATGTACTTGGATCTTAAAGCTTTAAATCCAACCTCGCACGCTTCCTTACTTCTTACCATTCCTTTACGTATTCCCATCTTCATGTTTTCGATGTACTGCAAAATGCTAGCGTTAAAAGTCTTAAGTTTCGTCTCTATTAGCTCAACATCCGATGCATCATTAGGTTTAAAATAACGACCCAGTCCGTTTTGCACTGCCCTTCCGATGTTGCAGATTTCCTGCCAGCAGCGTTTGTTCGGTCCCATCATCCAATCTCCAGCGTAATAGTTGACATCAAAAGGTTGACCGAATACGTGTTGAAGATAGTGTTTCACTTGGGCCACAACTTTCTTTTCTCTTGGTTTCAATGCAGCTTTGTTTATGTCCTTCTTGTTGATTTCCTTTAGCAAGTTTAAGGAAGTGTCCGTTCGAATTTTGATCAGAGAGGGCGTCGGATCGTAGGCGACGTATTCTTTTTTGATTCTCTCAGGGGTGACATCTGGGTCATCATAAACTACATAAGGATGGAGTTTATAATATGATGACTTGACTTTATCGAGGAATTCACCAAGCCCCACTCGTTTTGCTTCCTCTGAATAATCACATTTCGCTGATTTGTCTGATGGGGCTGCGGCGGCCGCATTCGTACCTGATGCTCCGTCATCTTTTCCTTTTTCTTTTGCTGCAACAGCAATCAACGCGATTCCAACGATGAAAATGATCGTCGCGACAGCCAATATCATAATTGTGATGATTCTCTCCCTCGAGGGTCCCTGACGTCCAAAAGTAACGCTCTTCTCGTCAGACACCATCATCTCCGTACTCTTGGTCTGCTGCATGATTGTGAAGTTGCTCTCCAAAATGACTGGAATCGCCAAATTCTCCGGAACAATTAATTCAAAGAGCTTGTTGCCGTTGTATGATTCGCTTACCTCGCCGCAAATAAATTGGCTGACGAAAAGTAAAACTTGGCTGACGAAAGTAACAATTGGCGGACGTAAGTGAAAAAAATTTCCGCATGACCGTCGTCCTTTGCGAATTGCTATTCACATGCCCCATCTAAGTTCAGCTAAGATTAGGAACTTTTCTGAATCATTTTTTCAGCAATAAATCACACAAGCCTTACTCATATTGCCATATTGGATTGATACTGGAGAAATACCGGAATTTGTCATCGCGAAATCATTTGTTATTAAATCGTTTTCCACGCAGAAAATATGCGAGAGATTAGACTAGCTGCGACGTGGTAATAACACGCTTTAACAAGGTCACGGACACAGACCTAAAGTGAAAATGTTATTGCTCACGGTGATTATTTACCATCTGAAATATATAAAACTAGTTATCATCCGTGACACACAAGGTATCAATTAGATTCACCTTGCTGCTCATCACGGTCCATTACAGCATAGAAGCCCGGCGGCTCCCAGCTTAGCCTAAGTCCACCGCAGTCCTCCTCTAAAGGTCTCTAAGTGGATCCCGGACACATTATTTTCCTTCTCCCTTGGAGACCAGCTAAGCAAAACGTCAGGGATGCTGGTGGTTTCTCCTCTCAGTATATGGCCAAATCAAAGGCAATATTCCTCTCAATTTCCTCCTGCTTGGTTAGTTTGATGAGGTCAAAATCTTTATTGGCTGGAAACAACAATTTTGTGCGTCTATACGATTATTTTGTAGCTTGTGTGCAAGTTTTTTTAATTCGAAGGCCTGCTAAGCGACTTTCGTGGTTCTTACTTTCAGATGAGCTGTTCTCGCGAAATCATGACAGCGACAAAGAGAAAAGTGAAATCGACAGTGACATTGGCGTTTAAAAATTAGACAAGGACTTGCAGCGCATTCGGGAAGAGGAAATTGTGTTTACAATATAGTTTAACTTTCAGTGAGTAATGACAATCTACTGTGTGACCTGTGTCGTCTAAGTCTTCGCTCGTGGTTTGACCTGATTCTTGCGCGTCTCAGCCTTGTTGTAAAGCATCTTATCTCAAGCACATTTTCTACCAATCTCTTCACTTTAAACTACTCTTGACAGCGAAAACCTAAACAAGTACTCTAGTGTTTACTGTCGGTCGAAGGCAAGGCCAGCTATCTTATAATAAGAAATTCCGCTGTTTCTTCAACGCTTCACTCAGTAACATGAATTTGTCTGGCATGATTTATCGCAGATGAAAAAATACCCGGAAAGGGAAATTATGCTTATCAGTTCGTAAAGGACGATGGACAGACGGAAATTTTTCTGCTCTTTAAAAGGGTATTAAAGGGCGTCAGCCACGTTATTGAATTTTCGACCTTGAAGGTGAATGTGCGCAAAAAAAGCAATGCCAACACTTGATTGTACCTGAAAATCTAGCGATCCTTAACATTTGGAAATCAAATTGACAAATCATGCAGCAAACCAAAAGTATGGAGATGATGATTTCCAAAAAAGAGACCATACTTTCGGGCGTCGAGGACCCTCGCGAGAGAGAATCTGAGAAAACAACATGGCAACCACTCATTTTATGAAGAAGCTCTGGGCGTCGCCTCTCCGGAAATACCCCTACACCGAAGGCATTCGATTGCCTGACTTTTCTGGGTCCGGTCCTTGTGGGAAAATGTGGCACTCAATCGGTAAACGTTTAATTACAAAGTAAGTGAGCATGACCTCTAACGCGTTAGAAATTTTTTGTTGCGTTTCTCATTTCTGGTGTATTTTCTACTTAATCTCTTTTTTTGTGCACTCTCATTCAATTCTTTCTTGACTGAAAACTAAAAGAAGAACTTTTGTGTAGGTTCAACGCAAGGCTACAAGATCCACTTAAGTGAGGCCCTGTCAGGAGGGGTCTTATCGTCCCTCTTCTGAGTTTCCAACCTTTTCACGTCGCAAGTTCGGAAGGTTCGCATGTGCGTGGCGGAATTTCGTCCAAAGCCACAGATAACGATATTGGAAATGTTCAAGTATAGAAAGTTTAACCTTAATGGGTTCTCGTAATTCTGTTCCCGATACATTTTATTTCCGGATAATTATCGACCAAATAAAGCCTTGCAAAGAGCGACATCGAAAAAAAAAAAAAGAAAAGGATAAATCTGAATTTGGAGCGCTTAACCATAAAGGACATGAAGCAAGGTGTGATGATATGAAAGATAAGAAGAGAAGATGACAGAAGAGAGTTAATGCAAAGAATTCACCCAAGCAAAATTGGACTTGATCACCGTATTGTTATTGCTGTGCTCTGCTTGAGTGTCCACTCTAATATTTCTCTATTTGTAAATGAAATCAGAACTTTTTATTGATTAGATTAAAAAGCTATTTTCAGTCTAAAACATCTGAAGTATTATGATCTTAGTATTATGTATCATTGTATCATTATCTACAAATGCCTTTAAATCCTAGCTATCTCATTAGGAACATTGCTAAAAGATCTGCTCTCGGTAATCAGTCCACCAGCTTTCCACTATAGAGTGGGATGGTACAGATTTGACAGAACGTTGTTGACCACTGAACCTTCTTTAAAATGAGATGTGGAAGACCCAGCATTTTCTTCCTTATTCATCGTAATTTTTTTACCCTTTTTATATCTTGAAAATGACAATTTGCGATCCAAATCTTTTTTGAATATATGATTTACATGGATATATATGTCGTCACATTGCTTTAATTTGTGACTGAGTGATGGTAACTAACTGTTTGTTTCCGGCTGAGTACTACCGAACACGATAAACATCTCACAATCGTTTCAGGATGGCGCGTCAAAACAAACAAAGCTTTTACTTGCGGAAATATCTTAAAAGGTGTGATCGGCACATGATGAAAACTTAGATGAAAAAAAATTTTGCTTTGAAGAGAGAGCATTCACCGTTTGAATCAGCGAATTAAGCTCAGTAGATCCAAAGTATGATATTTTCAGCTCTTGGCGAGACACTATACAAAAGATGATAAAGTTTCAATATAATTTTAGAGTGGCGTCTTCGGTACGTTATTAAAATCAAGAAATTTTTTGCGGAAATATCTGAATAGGTTTGAACTGCCCATCGTGTCACAGGCGGCCCAAGCTCCAGCTGTAAGATGATCATCTTGCGCAGTAATAGTCATGGCGGAATTATGAGAGTTTGTATGGGAATATTTACGACCGCTCTAAGGAATAAAACAATACGTCAAATTCTTAATAAAAATATCTCACCTTACTTCCACAGCGTATCACTTGGTATCTGACCGCTTCCTTTGGTGAAACGAACGCATTTTAGCGAGTTGTCAATTTCGAGGTTTTCAACGTACATGGGAAAAGCCCAAGGCTGAACACTCCATTTCCGAACGCTCGATCTGAGAAGCGAAAAATTCCAGCGCAAAATGACCGGGCGGAATAGCGGAATGGCGGAAGATCCTACGACGCGGAATGCCTCGTTTTATGTCACAAAAGTCTCACAAAAATGAAATTGTATTGAAGTAAGATAATGATTTCTGATAAACAGGCAAAAATAAAAGAAGCATGGTTTAATCGTCATTGGAGCCTTGCCAGAGGATAGACCGATTGAGGAACAGTGAAGTTCTTGAGCTAGCCCCTATGAATTTTATTACTATTGTTATCACTATTATTATTATTAATATTATTATTATTGATATGATTATTTTTACCTTTTAATTATAGGTTGAGGGTCAATAAGTCACTATATTCTTGAATCGTCTTTTTCTTATTGAATACTCACAAATATGCGGGATGCGGCAGGTTTTGTATTTCGCATGTGACACAAATCTTCTGCAACACTGTCTTCTAGCATTAAAATTCAAGCACGGTTCTCTTAAGTGCTTAAAAAAATTTCTTAAACTGCCTATTTTTAACAATTAACAAGATCCTAATTTGGCTTGGCCTTTCGTTAGAGTCGGAAAAAAAGAGCCAGCCACTAAAATGAGCAATCACTAACAAAAAGTGCACATCATATATAGTGTAAAATAGGTTTCGGTATGTTTTGCCAACGGGGCGCGTCTGCTGTTTTCTTTCCATTGCGTTTCTTCGGTGGTCTCAGAATAACGTCACAGCCTTCTTTCGTCTTGCCCATGACACACGCTACATATTTTTCAATGTGATCTGATAAGTAGGCCAGCGGAGAGGACCCCTGAGCGAGAACCTGAAAAAAGTTTACATATGTCCAGCTCCCATTTTTTAAACCTAGTATCGCTATTCCTTTTACACATAGCTTTTCTCGCTTTCCTCGTTTTTTCTAGTCCAAGTTTGGAGCTCAGCCATTGACTGGCACCTCTCTGGGTGGCATTTAGGCAGTCAACAGCGACTGTCTATTACATTGTCGGGAAGTGACAAGGATATCTCTAAGTAGTTAGTTCCGCAGGAAATCTCCATTCATCTAGCGATTACGGCAGCTGTTTATCTAACTTATGATTTCTCAGCTATTCGGACAATTACGACCTTGTTTCAATAAAGCAGACCAAACTGTGATAATCGGATGAGTAATTCGCTAAATCAGGACTTTATCGTCAAACAACAACATATTTATTTAGTTCGAAGCCAGTTATTGTAATCTTCTGGCAAAATATCCTTACCATTGCTATTGCTATAGCCATGATTTGGCTCGTCAACACCCTTAGCACCCTTAGTAACATTGCATTTGGTTAGATAATGAAAATAATGTCCACATAACCTCAAAACAAACAATGCGTTCATAGCCTATTGACGTCCGCAGTGGCATTTAGGGATGAAATCCCTTAAAACGAATGTATGAGACGTATTTACTAACCTGGTAATGGAAATCTCGCAGATTAAACTTTTCCCCCAAATTATCTTTAGTATACTTTCTGGCTTTTTCAATCTCCAATTGACCAATCATGTACGCAGTCGCTTGTCCTGGGTTGCTCTGATACCGAGTAACCTGTTGAGGTCACCAGCAGTACAAGTAATTTAATAACAGAAAGTAAGAGATTATCAACAGTTATAGTTAAATTGATAAATGTGTTG